ATCATCACACCGACACAACTTATACTACACCACAACATTCAACAATATCAGCACCGCGAAGCGGTAATATCAGCACTGCGTAGCAGCAATAACAGCACCACTTAAGTGGCTATAACAGCACTGCATAGCGGCAATAACAGCACCGACTTAGCGACTATAACAGCACCACAATAGTGGCTAATAACAGCACTGACATAGCGGCAATAATAGCACCACAATAGTGGCTAATGATCAACATACAGCCCAGCTAACACAGCTCACAACACAGCACAGCAAATCAGCATACAACACAACCAAGTAGTATTCAACTCAGCTTACTACTCACAACTCAGTTCGACATTCTATAGTACAACAATACTATAATTTAGCATTTACAAATCATCAATCACAGTCCAGCTCAACACAACAATATACCTCTATTACAGCTCAACATCATTTCTCAACACTATCATCTAGTCAGCACAACATATTCATCAATTACAGCTTAGTTCAGCATAAAATAACATCTATCAACAATTTAAGCAAAATTTAACAACTATCAGCATATAAGTCACCATCATCATACGCGCCCGGCGCACTCATGGTCGCGCCCGGCATGGCAAAATCAGAGAGCACCAAGGGCCAGGGCGCCTGGCGTAAGAGTACTCGCGCCTGGCGTGACCCAGCCTGAGAGCCCAAGGCTCTCACGCGCCTGGCACAATACAAAATTGTGCCCAGCGCATGCCCAGGCAGAGACTCCAAAGAGCCTCACGCGCCCGGCGTGCCCAAACCCGCGCCCAACGTGGGGAAGGCAGAGACCTCCCAAGGTCTCACGCCCAGCGCAATTTGAATTGCGCCCGGCGCCCCCTTGGCAGAGACTCCCAAGGAGCCTCCGCGCCCAGCGAGGCAAAACCACGCCCAGCGCAACACCAGAAGAATTCAAAAACATGTCACAACTGGTATCGCGCCCGGCGTGGTCCAAGTCACGCCCGACGAGGGCTAGCCAGAGACTCACATTCCCCAGCACGCCCGGCGCACACATCATTGCGCCCGACAGGCTTGCCCAAAATGGGGTCCCCTGGTGGTCACACGCCCGGCGCAAAGAACAGCGGCCAGTGCAAAGCTCAACAGCAACTCCCAAAGTTCGAAATCTCTTCAAAAATCTGCAAAGACAGCCAGGAAATCCACATGGAAACCATCCAATAGCTCACATTTACATCAAAAGGTTCAAAAACAACATCTTTTTACACATGCAACCACAGACAATGAAATTCCCAAAATTTATCAAAAACCCCAAAACCCCACCTTCAGCAATTTCAGCCATAAACCATCAACAATCAAATGAGTTCCTAGACTCATTTTCAGCCAAAACGCAGCAAAAATCTAACTTTCCTTACCTCGGTGAAGAAATCTGAGCTCCGGGAAGAGAAAGATGAAGAACGGAGGAGAAGAGAGTCGGGGAAGAAGGAAAACAACTCAAAACTACACGGCTCCACAACAAGATCAACACCTAATCTGCACTTCCACCTTGAAACAACAAGAAAGAAAGATCCAAGGCCAAAGAGTGAGTAAGGAGAGTGAAAGAGAGTTGGGAAAGGGAGGGAGAATAAAGAGAGAGAGAGTCGGGGAAAAGAAAGGAAAAAGGAAGGTCTCACAAGAAAAGGTCTTCCTTGTCTCCATAACTTATCTCTCTAAAACTTTTCTTTAGAATTTAGAGAAATGAACTTACGAAATTCAAGTTTTTTAAAAATCTTATGTACCTTCCCATTGTTTTTGATCAACTTTGACTTTAACTTATCAGCTCTAAACAACTTACTTCTCAAGAATCCTTTGGCCCTTAGAACCTTATAAAGTAGCTAACAACACATCAAAACATCATAAACTACATATATTTCATCATCATGCAATTAAAGCATCAAAACATATCGTGTTACAGTAACACCGATATAACTACTTAATCTTTTTAATAAACAAATAAATAATTAAAAATAATTATACAAGAACTAAAACATTTATAAGTTTTAGGGAATGAAAAACCAATAAAAATATAAAATCCAAAATCAAACTTATATATTTTACAAGAATTAAAATTATATTTAAACTTAACAATAGTACTTTTTGTTGTTTTTCCAATTTAATTGGAGAAGGGCAGTCATTCGAGACACACTGTTTTAATTAACTTGTCAAATTTTCTTAATAAATATTTAATTTTGATACCTATTTATATATCATTTTCCCTTATCTTCTTACTTTATTTATCAAGACCGTAACATTAGAGTATAATTTTTTTTCTATGCTTAATTGATTTCAGTTATTTTTTTTAATTGAACTTCTTACGACTCATTTAAAATAAACAATTTACTATTTGTCATTTTAAACTAAATAACGACTTAATTATAAAAATTATTAAAATAAATTTTAAAAAAGCTTAATTTAATATTTTTTTCTCTCTGAAATATTCTTTAAAAAAAATAACAACAACAACAACATCGCTTTATTTTTTTGAGTTTTCAATTTTTTAATAAAAATAAAAGGTCAATGGTTATTAACATGCATGTGGAAGGGGAGAAGGCTTCTTTCGGACCATACACGTGAGGGCGTATAATTTGATGCTTATCATTAGTTATTTGATGTAGGTTTGACTGATATACTTTAAAAGATAAACTACATTTGTAATTATTAATTAAAAACCAACGATTAATAATTATAATAAAATCAAATTCAAATAAAATTAATTATAATATTAATTGTTAATTTTTAATTAATAATTTCCTACTATATTTTAATTCTTCAACAATATTTTACTACTTACATTTGTTAAAATATTATTATATTATAAATAAATAGATTATTTTATAACATTTGTTTTTAAAAAATATTATTATAAATAGAGTAATATTTTTTATTTCAATATTACTTTTTTTAATTATTTTCAAAATCACAGTCTCGAATAAAAAAAATGTCATATAGGTTATTTTACAACATATTTTTTTTAAAAAATGTTACTATAGATAAGTAGCAACTTTTTATTTCATTATTTTTTTTTCTAATTACTTCTAAAATCAAAAGTCACACATTGAGTAAAACAAATATCACAAAGAATATATTTTTGTCATCTCTAATTATTTCTCATAATTATACGAGTTTAGAAGATATAATGTATAAAATTGATAGCAACATCTATATTAAAATTAATTATTATTTTTTATAAAATTAACAAAAATTTAACAACATCATTAAATCTAAAAAAAATATTTCATTTTGATAACATTTGGAAAGTGTTATCTAATTGCGCAAAAATACAATTAATTTTTTTTAACATAAATTATATACAACATTTGATAATATATTATAAAAATAAATTAACAATATTTATATATAATTAAATAACATTTTTAAATATTACTAAAAGTTTTTGTTTTTTATGTTGTAATATCACTATGTTTTAAAAGATCATTTTCTTCCTTTAAAGGAATAAATCTTCCCTATTATGAGCATACTAACATCAAAAGTTAGATTTGATAAATTTAAAATTAATGACTTTTTTTTTCTCAAATAGTTTCTTACCCACTGGTTTCTGTCACCAACATGAACCCACCCATCGTGAATCATTTCTTTTTTTATTTATCATAAGTTGTATAAATATGAAACATGAATAGTCAAAAGGGAGTTTTTACTGTAACTTTATTAATTAAAATGTTTTGGAACTTATAGTTTTTAAATTAATAAATATACGGTCATGTTGTATCAAGTCTTTCCTATCTTATTATTAATTATTTATTAAATTTTTTAAAACCATAAAATACATCCAATTCCACACTTTATTAAATAACAACGAAAATAATCACAACTTTAATGGTTCACATTCTAAGAGATAAAAAGAGTCAGTAACGAAAAGATTAAGAACTTTAGATTCCTAACAAAGAGTTGGTCCGACGAAGATCAAGGTTTAACCTAAAGGTTCATGAAGCTTTGAACCCTTCATTAAACATTTTAATCCTCAAAAACTCCTTTAGGCCTAAAAACACTCGTGGAAATTGTAATAATCTGTTATGCTTCCTACATTGAGCGACTTAACAACTAGTAGCAGAAAATGACTAAATGCCTAAGATTATATATATCTACAAATACCTGGATATGTAGCATGCATATAAGTGTAAAGCAATTGTATAAGTATAAACTAGTATAAATATAGTAATTCAATAAATGCCAAATATATAACCTAAGTTATTGGTCAAGCAACATCTATATACAAGATTACACAACAATAGCACCAAAAAATATCAATTCCACCATTCACTAAATGGCCTCTACTGTAAAACACTTCAGACCTATCCTTACTCTACTCCCATACCAAGTATGATCATAGTATTCCAACCACATGGAACACAATAGTAAGCTAGAGTTCAAAGATTCGACATATATAATGAAATATGAACAACAATCATATAATCACATATTCAGCTAAGTTCAACATCGCAACACAATCAACATTTTCAACATTTGATATGAACAACACAACTTAATCAACACAACATTTGCACAATTATCAACCAATGCATCATTACACATTTCAATTATAGAGATCTATTACAACACAAGTGAACAACACAAGTGAGCAAAGTTTGAAAATGCAGAACCTAGATCAAAGATGACGTGTGAGTACATTATCATCATTCTTGTATCTAGCATACAAGTAAAGCATTATCCTGCGAAATCTTAACTAAATTACTCGGCCTAGCATGCCTAGCTTTGTGCTACACATACTTCAAATTCTTGCGTGATGCTGAATGAAGATAAATATCCAGAATGAATCTAATCAGCAAAAACGAATACCAATATTACACGAGTCCATATAACCTGTACCCACTTGTCATCAAGTAATCATGTTTAATAATTTGTCGTCCAGTATATTATGTATGACAACTAATAGCGATCAAATTTGTGCTAAATAATGCATTTTATGTGGTGTATAACAGTTGGGCACGTACTAAACAAGTGAAAAATCCGGCACAAAAGAATGCAAATAAATGGACTCCAGTTCATATAAAAGCTAATTCCTGTCCTGACTCCATTAGTATTGAGGGTAAAACAAACGCAAGAAAGGGCAATACATAAAAGCAGGATGATACAACGTATAAAAAGCTTCATTACACTTCAGGGGAAAATAGATGAAAGAGAACAATAGAGTATGCTAAGGAGGAATTTGGATCCTCTCCTGCCATCCAAATTGTGCTAAGGAGTCTATCAAAAGTTATCTTCATCATCGTATTTATCTTCATCTTCATATTTTTCCTCATCTTCGTCTTCGTCTTCATCTACATATTCATTGTCTTCTTCATCATCTGATTCCAAGCAATACCTAACGGCTTCATCTGAATCTAATTCCAAGTAATTCCTGGCAGCAATGGCGTCACTCGAACCTGATAGCAAGTAATTTTTAAGGGGTTCACGGTAATCAGCAGGGTTGTGAAACCAAGTTGGAGTACCCAGAATGGCCTTCTCCAACCAAAACTCTTCTTGCTCTTCTTTCTCCGCCGTCATGCTTTCGTAGATTAGTCCCATTTCATACAAGGCATTCTTCAATCGAACAGTCTGACTTCCGCTAAATAGATACTTGATATAATCTCTGGCTAGCTTTGTGAGTTCCTCACCGGTGAGGATATAAATGTACTGGAAAGAAACATATATATGTATGAATAAGAAATGGCCTATGTCCCATCATAAGTTTGCATATGAACACATATTCCAAGCTCAAAAGCCTGATACACTCTTAAGTACCTCAGCAATTAGCTACTTTTATCATTAAACTCTTATGTACTTCAGCAATTAGCTACTTCTATTATTAATTTACATTTGCCAATGCAGTTTAAGCTGCAAGTGTTCTTCCATTAATAATATACAAATATGATCTTTTTCTTTTGTTTTGTTACTTCCACTTAAACTTTACTCCTTCCAGTTTTCACAATTCACATTTTTGCACACAAAATAAAAAGAATGTTCAAGAGTTCTGAGTTAATGAAAATCATTAACTTATTTGCACACAAACCAATAGAAAGAGAGAGAGAGTACCAGAAATATAAAGCCAAGGGTTGCTAAAACCACTTGGAGATTTTCTTCCCACATTGCAGCAGGGCTTTCCTCTTCTGATTCACCGGAGCCATCAGGACTGCCACCGCCACTACCACTGTTTCCACCTCCTCCTGGTGGTTTCACTCCACTGCCACCACCATCATAATATTCACCCTTTTCAATTTGCCGCCGTAAAACATCTTCTATTGATTGTCCCTTAAACTTTCCTATAGCTTGCTCAATAGATTTCCATGGGGAATTCTGATAACATTTATAATATCAGTAAAATGTAGGAATATCGCAACCAATATATACATAACTAAATGAATAGTTCTCTTTTACTCCCCACAGATTCATTACAGACAGAAGTGACAATTTTGTGCTGGAGAGGTATTAAAAAGAAAAGAGTTGCTTCCAGTGAATCTAGTCTATACTATTTTAATGGTTTGGACTACTGCTCAACATATTTCAGGTAAAACAGAACAGGAAAAGTCTCCTGCTGCTTAAGTCCATCATTTCCTAACACATACTTCTTTAACTAAAATTGGAAATTTTCCTTATGGTCAATGCATGATTCAACTCATGATAACTCCGGACCATCAATCAATACCAACAATAAAATGTTTCAAGAGATAAACAAGCAAGGAAACAAAAAAAAAAAAAAAAACAGACAAAAAAAGCAAACAATTTCTTTTCCTATGACTAAGGGGGCTATATTGAATTAATAGAAAAATCAAGGGGGTAAGGTACACAACTAAATAAACTTTGAATTTTCTAGCCCAATTTAACTTGGACTTTGAAAGCAGAACACTAAACTGTATTATTTGGATGCACAGTTTATAAAGAAGATGATGCAACTGAAATCCATTTCATAAATATCCCAGGTACAGTAAAGTATCTTGGGTGGGGATTTCTGTGTCAGATAGATCATATACATTGCACTCCATTATTTCATAAAAGTATTATTCGAATGTTTACCATAAACATCAATAAGTTATGACATAATAACCGCAACAAAATAAACTGTAACTCAAAAGAAAGTGCAATACCTCTTCGTCATTTCCCATCATCCCTTTTCCACCGGCTAAGCAAATATGAAGAGGTTTCTGAGATTGTGAAATGGGCCGCCATTTCAAGCCAAGTGATTGTCTTGGTCTTAGGCCGAGTTTAACGCGAGAGCAAGGATCAAAACGCTTTGGTAAAATGCACAGTTTAGAATGAAGCCTGTGCACTTGAGATATACTTTTGACACAAATACCAGGATGGCAAGCAGTGACTTGTGCGGTGTTCATTTTGTCAAACAGCTCAACTACCCCAAAATTTCAAACATTACACTAGCATTTCACAAAATCAGGCTTCAATTCAAATTGCTTAGTCGAAATATTTAAACACTAGCTAATACACTACTGCACATGCACCAAGAGACATAATGTGAGACATTATCAAAATTGTTTTCTTCAATAATTTCCAAAAAAAAAAAAATCAAAATTACATTGCCCTCTCAACAACTTGACAGCTTCAAATCCAATAACGAAAATTTCACAGAAAAAGTAGAGGAAAATAATCATTATTCATTACATACCAACCAGGACGAAAAAAAAAAAAAAAAAAAAAAGCAGACCCAGAAAAAAATAACATCAATTAGGGGTTGAAATGAGTTTGGAATGCATACAATCGAGCCCTGATAGAAATAAAATCCCTTCTATTAACACGTATTATTTTCCTGATGGATTATTAAAACACTGAGTAGCATAGAGAAAAGAAAAACGAAGATTTCAAACGAAGCGTGAGTTGAAGGGATGAAAGAGACCGTTACCTCTGTAGCGAAGTATCCGATGACACTCGTTTTTTTCCTCTCGCTGGTTAGTTCGTTCTCGTCTCATCCACTGCTACTAGAGAGCGCTGTGCTGCAAAACGCAACGCTTGTGTCGTTTTGGGCTTCACAAACAAGGCTTTTGAGAGTTTGCAGTTTCATCAGAGCCCAACAGTTGTTTAACTAAGAGCATGCATGTAGCTTAACTGCTTAAATAGCTCTAGTTAATATCCTCCATTGAAACTCTGTTTTCTAAAGTCTTCTTGAATGTTTATATTACTTTATTCAGTTCTATGTTGAGCAACTCGTAATTAAGTTACCATACTTTTATTTTAATGATAAAAGTTATATTTAAACAAGTCATAAGTTAATATACTTTCACTCTAACGAAAAGATTTTAAGTAACTCAATGCTCACCTTTTTTATTTGTACCTAATTTTAAATAAATATTAAATAATAAAATATTATAATTTATTAAAAATAACATCTTTATTATTTAAAAAATGGGCAATTATGATTTTTTAAAGTATGCACAATTAGAGATGAAATGGTAACAGTTTTTCATAATTTTTTTTTATATAATTATAATTATAAGAGAAGAAATTTCTAGGAAGCTTGGGTTAATTGATCATTGTGGAATTATTTTTAAAACTAATTACTTAATGAAACTGTTTTAAAATTATTTACACTTGTTTAAAATAGAGTCGCTATGAGCGATTCTAGTGTCGTGTCAAATTTTGTTTTTTTAAGAAGTCATGAAAGACATGCAACAAAATTAAATTAATTTTGTAACAAAACTAATTAATGTAATTTTTTTAATGTATAACACTTTAAAAAAATTATTTTTTTTAAATATTTTTTAAGGCTAACGTAGTTTGTTAAAAAAATTAATTTTTTAATTTAATTATTCAATATAAAATATATAACTAAAATATATGTATATATATATATGAATATAAATATAAATTTAATAACGTAACTAATTTTATTTTATTTTCAGTAAAACAAAAATTTAATAAATTAATAAATAATTAAAAATATAAAATAAATATTATTTAAATATTTGAAGAGTCGCTATGGAGTATAACTACTATTTTTTATTATTTAAAATTTAATTTATATAAATTTAAACATATTAATATTTTTAAAATATTAATTTAT